AGTTAGAAAATTGAATCATGACTTTGAATATTTGATTGTTAGGTCAATTTCAGTGTGGTCAATTTTCCGGTAAGGATGGTTTTTCAGATTTTTGTTGTAGGAAAAAACCTTGTGGTTGTGATCGTGGAGAAGGTGGTGTGAAAGATGGTATGCTTCCCTCTCAGTACACTTAAAAAAAAAAGAGGTAATCGAGGGGCACAAGGCGATCAACACATGCAGCTGCAATTGCAACAACTCCAATTGCAGATGCATGGATAAGTGGCGTGGAAAGAGGAGAATGTGGACATGGCGAGTCAAATAAAAAAGTGAAGGAAGGGGAAGGATTAGGACATCTAAGTGTGTGGAGTGAAGAATTCAAGTGGTGGAGTGGTATTTCCATGTCAAGTTTTGTGGTTGTGCGTTTTGAAATTGTGTGACCATCCCCAGTTCATGGACAGATTGCAGAGTACATAGTCTCTAAGACCGTGAACTGGAAAATGCGTCCGCGAACTACGAGACTCGCCTATAAAAGGGGCGTGAACGTCGAATCTTCACTTCACGAACAAAAACTCGCTGGGAAATTCAAATCTCGCTGGAAAACCGCGAAACTCCGACGGTTTTTGGCCATTTCCCCCATTTCCGGCGAGCAAAACAATAAACCAAGCACAAGCCCATTCTCCCCTCCTCAAAGGCAGCACTCGCCGAGAATTTGGGGAGATTTGGAGCACATTTTTCCAGCGAAGTAGCCGCCCTCTGACAAGAGTCCGGCGAGCTTCCGACGAAGCTCCAAAACCTTCTCCGGTCTGTTTTTTTTTTTTTTGGCAGATTTTTACCGTCCTCGCCCTCACCTCACTTCCTCCTACATCCTACTTGAAACTCCAGGTTGGTTTTCAGCTCTACCTTATTTATTTTGGGAGAATCGGATTTGGTAGGGATTGCAATGAATCGAGTCAGGGGCGGATAGTGCATATACATTACCCTATTCAAAGTAGTTCGGGTTTTACCCATACCCATACCCACATAAGATATGGGTAAAAATATCAAAACCATGTCCATACTCGTTCAGGTTTCGATTATCCACGGTTATCTATGGGTAATAATTTATCTTCATAACTCCACCCAATATGTTAACATTCACACGTATTCTCACATTACGTAAGAGTAAAAGAACGACAATAGTTCACTAGAATGAAGAAAACTAATTGAAACAACACAATTTCATGAATATATTATATTTATATGCTAAATATAAAATATAAGAGAGAAAAGTAATGATTATTTCTAGACAAAATACATATGCACGTGTATAATCTGGTGGGTTCGGGTTGGATAGTAAGAAACCCATGCCCACCCATTACCCGCAATATTCGGGTTCGAGTTTTATCCATACCCACTAAAAGTCTTTCGGGTTCCGGTTTTACCCTACCCAATTAGATCAGATTCGGGCGGATATCCACGGTTACAGATATTTTTACCATCCCTAGGATTAGGTGGTGAAGTGAGGAGATATTTAGTGAATTGATTGTTGAACTTAGCATTAGGGCGAGGAAGTAGGTGAATTAGGGTGATTGAATGATTGCATAATGTTGCTTGAGATTAATTGAGGCTTGGTGGGCATGTTTTAATTTGAATTGCTTGTATTTGCGAAATTCGCCCACCAAGTGCTAATTGTTGAATGATGAGAAATGTTTGATCGAGTGGTGGTTGGTAGCCACCGTGCCATGGTTCGGGTTTGAATTTTTGTGTGAGATAATCCGTGACCGCCTAGAACTGTGTCGTGGTGTGCTTAAGCTTAATTTTTTTGATTAGCATGGATCCGTACTGGAAATTTAAGTGTGGGGGGGGGGGAATTCTTTTTCCTCCCTATAAGCTGTGATTGGCGTTTCTTTCCACGTATGGTGCATGTTTGTCGATTTTGCAAGATGTTGAACGTGGAACATGAGTTCATCAGTTACCTGGTGAACCACGCCCACTTTGAAGATAAGTTCGCCTACCAGCGGGATAGCCCGATTGGGCAACATTGGCGGCTGGACCTGGACATGTTTAACATGTTCAGGTGTCGAGCCGCAATGTCAGGTGTCATCTGTCACCCCCAATGGCGCCTGCTGCTCTCGATAGACGAGATCATCTACCACGAGCTCTGCGTGGAGTTCTACTTCACGTTTGCTCACGTCGTCCCGAACGGCAAGAAGAGCCGGCCATATGTGGAGTTCATGCTGGGAGATCAGCCTCGAGTGCTGACCTATGAAGCCTTTGCCCAGGCCATGGGGCTCCACCCTACGTACATGACGATGATGGAGCGGCAGTACACAGCCGATTTCCACTATCAGGCTGCATTCAGGGCCCTCAGTCGTCCAGAGCATGAGCATAAGGAGTACGAGGCGAGCCGCACCAATGAGGTGAAATTGAGGACCCCTTGGAGGATCCTACATACATTGCTCACCCGCACTAGCGTCCCCAGCCTGCAGTCCGGACATTTGATCACAAACAGATTGTTGCTAGCTCTCTTCTCCATGAGGCATCCCGTATAGCCGATCCACTTGGGATCACTAATTGCCACCTCTTTCGCCCGATGTCTGGGGCGGAACAGGATGGACACCATGCATATGGGGGGCATCATCACGAGGCTGGCCTGCCACTTTCAGGTGGATCTGGAGCGGTGCTCCATCGTGGGAAGGATAGAGTCGTTCCTAGTGTCGACTCTCTACAACTAGAAGCTGCTTTAGGGAGAGCGGGGAGTGGAGTACCTTGAGGGACTTTGACCCTCAGGAGTCATGAGACCATTGGTTGACCCGGCTCCAGTGGAGCCAGATGCAGAGGTCCCACCTCCAAAGTAACCACCTGCACGAGCTCCCGGCCGTCGCCGGCGTCCTGCGCTCCAGCTCCCAGTACCAACACCACTAGCTGGTAATCCCCTCGTCCAGAGGATGGATCGCCTCGAGACCCATGTCGTGGGAGTGACTTCCCAACTCGACCGACAGACCGACCTACTTGAGAAGATGGATCGTCGCCAGGGCCTCATTCCAGATGATGAGCCAGTGCCTTTGACCCAGTGAGAGGTAGCCGACGAGGGAGATATGTGGCAGAGCCGATTCCTTTCGCCCCACTACTCCACTTGGAACTCTTAATTCTTTTGTTTTATTTTTATTTCCTTTAGTTTGTGTGTGTGTGATCATAAACTACGACTATCGTATTGTGATATGTAATAACTTCGCCTCGAGCGAGCCGTATTGTGTTTGTGTATGTGTATTTTTCTTCTACTCCTTGAAACTTCAATCTCCTACCCCGGAACCAATTCCAACTTTCACTCACCAAGCAAAGCGGTAACATCGTTTTACCCCTATCTTACTCCATTGAGGGAAATGTCGAACTTAAGTGGGGGGGTAGTTTATTCTTATGCGTGTGTGAGTGTGATTGATGCTTGAAGCCTTCATGTATGCCCAAATTGGAAAATTTTGAGGGCTTCAAGCAATGTTTGCATGATCAAAGTTGTCGGTTTGTAGGTGAATCTCGTGTTTATTGAACTTGAATTGTTGCATGTGATCGAGTGTGTCCTATGATGATGAATGAGAGGTGCATTAGGATAGTGCAAAAGTCTAGTTCTCATGTGTGCAAAAATGAATGGATGTGTTGACTCGATTACTTGTTGATTGCAATTGCCATGAATTGTGTTTTGTGAAAGTGGAATGAATGAATGGGTGACTAGGTAGCCATGTGAGTTTTGAGCCGATCGTTTTCTTGTTGTGTGCTAAGATCCCTCTCACCATGGCGAGTAACATCACAGTTGTCACTAGTGAGTATGATGGAAGCATAGGATTAGTCCATGCTCAAATGTTGATTTTCCCGAAATGTTTTATCCTCTAGTCAACCCCTTTGAGCCTTGTGACTTTGGGGGCCGTTCTCATGTCTAGGAGCTTTGTGCTTGTGAGCTTAATGGTGTTTGATAGAACGACCCCCCATCCTTTCTTTGTATATATACGTGTGTCGTCCTTGTGTCCTGGAGCTCTTGCGTTTGAGTTCCATTGAGGTTCTACATAGGAGGATTGTGTGTGGTTCATGCTAGGAATGAAAGTGAAAAGAGTAGTGTTGGAGTGAGTTCTTAAAGGAGAGCATTGGTTGTTAAAAGTAGTGTGGAAAGTGTTTAACTCTCTAATACCCCCCTCAAAAAGGAAAGAAAGAGAAAGAGAAACGAAAAGAGGTAATAAACCAGGGTAAATAAAGTAGAGAGTGCCACAAAAGATTCGAAGAGTATGCTCTAAGTGGGGTTCTTGGAATGCAAACCATTGAAGCCACCACATTGTTGTAGAACTCCTTCGCTACCAAGTTGAAATGTGATAGCAAGAAAGACCGAAGAAGAGCGCTTAAAGTTAGTTCATGATTGGTGATAGGTTGGAAGTAAGAAGCAAGGTTTTTGGTAGATGCTAGTGGCCATTGTTTGTAGGGAAGGTTCGTAGTCGAAACCATAGAACTTTCGGGTTTAGGGTGAAGATGTAGAACCTCATGATTTGTTTTCCTCCACCCAAAAGCCTTTTCCCCATGTCCAAGACAATTTCCAGTCAATTGAACCCGTGTCTAAGACCTCCGGACAAGCTAGTGATGACAACCGTACCATGAACTCTAACATTTAGAGGTTGCCTCCGTGGAGAAGAGAGGATAGGGCCTAGTGTTGATGATTATGCACATTTTTTGCACCAAAAAGGTCCCGACCCCAGTGGGCAAGAGAGTGAGTGATTCATTCTTGCGTTTCATGTCATATCATAACCCGGTGAAGACCTATGTTGCCCATTCGTTAGTTCCTTGGACTTGAATGTTATGCATGGTTAGTTGTGGTTGATAAGTGATCTTGTTAAGACTTGCATTGATTCATGAACGAGGTGATAAATTTTCGTTTGCCCGTTTTTGATGACCTCGAATGTCGTTTGTGGTGGATGTCGGTATTTCTTGCAACGGTCCATGTGTAAATTGCCAATAGCCATTGGGATTCGCCACTTTGTGCCCTTTGATTTGTCCCCAAAGCATTTCGTTAGGTTGAGAGATTACCTTGTGTGAAATGGTTTGCTTGGGGACAAGCAAACGTCTAAGTGTGGGGGAATGATTCGAGACTAATTGTACACTTTTTACCCCCAATTCTCTTTGACGTTTGTTGTAATTGAACTCCAAAAAGGTTGGTTTTATGCGAGGTTGCTTGTGTTTTAGTGTGTTTCAGATCCTAACAGGTAAAACCAAACCCGGAGTCGAAAATTTGAAGAAAAGGAGCAAATACTGGGCAAAGAGGTGGAGACAACCACAGTCATGGCAAGACGTTGGAGTTCACGGTCTTACATGACCGTGAACTAGAGCCATGACCCGCGAAGCGAGGAGAAAACAGAGGGGGTTTTCAAGTTACTGATGCCCAGGCATTTCACGATCGCTAAGACTGTGGACAGGGGTCACTGACCGTGAACAGAGCAGATGAAGCGGTGCGCTTTGGTCGCAGCCTTAAGTTCACGGACGCGTTTCAATGTTCACGGCCGTGAACTTAGGCCGTGAACTCAGCGCGATCTCCCACTTAAAAGGAAAGCTGAAAGGAAGAAGAAGGGGAGAGACCTAGAGTGAGAAAGTGACGAACCAAAGAAGAGGAAAAGCTAGGGTTTCTTCTCCAAGCAAGGTTTTGGGAATTTATTCCCCAAAGGAGGATTTCTTGAGCACAAGGAGCAAGGATTGCATCTTCTTGATGGTTTCCCCTTTCATCTCCTGTGTTTTCCCTTCTCCTAGCATGGAGTAGTCCCTTCTTTCACTTGGGTGTTTGTAAACCCTAGCTACAATTATGTGAATGCTTGTATGAATTGAATGATTTGTGTGTGGTTGTGTTTTAATGTGAATGTGGAGGTATTATTCAGAAATGATTGTATTGTGTGAAAGCCTATCAATCTAATTGCCATTCTAACCTAGCTTAGAGACGAGACCTCCTTAGGTTAGGAGTTTCATTAGGTGTTCTTGGGCATTACACGCCTCCTAGGCTAGTTTAGAGAGGAAACGTCCTTAGGTTAAGAGGCTCAATATTGAGATGGAGTTCTTGGGCATTTCATGCCTCCTAGGCTAGTGTAGAGAGGGAACCTCCTTTACCCAAGAGGTTCAGTTTCCTTGGGCATTCAAAGCCTCCTAAGCTAGGTTAGGGAGAACCCTCCTTAACTTAAGAGGCTCTATTAGAGATCTGTTTCCTTGGGCATTCTATGTCTCCTATTCTAGGTTAGTTAAATGGCAAACCTCCTAATTCGCATCAGCACTTAGAGGTTGGTTGTGGGTGGTCGTCCGAACTCCAATTCGAGGGTGAAATCTAACCATTCCTTAGTTGATAGTTTGAGAGGTTCATATTAGTGGCTTGGATCGTATCTCATTCCACAACCTAGAGTCTAAGAGGGTAGCTCCGGCTGCTTGTTAGACTTCCCTGTGGTTTATGACCCCCTAACCACACACGATCATTCGATTCTTCAAATCATATTTGTTAGCTAGGGGGAGCAACACCCGGGTGAAGCTTTATCAACTAGAGTCAAATCCCTTTTACCTTTTCAAAGCAACTTAGTTTTAGACCTTTGTTTTCACCAAAAATCAATCCGCTAGCTAATGTTTCAAATAGTCAAAATAGCGTACATGGACCGGTCTGGGCCGATATTTAAACGTATTTTCCCTATATTGCACCCATCTAAGATTTATACTTGGAAATTAGGTGGGATTTTATGGTGATAGTTAGAGCGAGTCATAAATCCTTGCTGTAAACTTGATTATTTGTCTTGGACGTTGGAAGTGATGTATGGGAAGTCAAAGGAGGATGATTTGACCAAAGAAGTAAAAACAGAGATGTCTGCAATGTCTAAGATTTGCAAATTGAAGTATGCACCTCCACCCTCTGAGCCCACTATTCAGGCCACTCTTACTATGAATGATACTAGTGATGATCGTTATGTATCTTATGGAGGTAGAAGTGATGCTACATTTAAGAAGAGGAGGATTCGAGGTTGTTCTGAGTTGGACATCTACTTAAGAGATCTCCGTTGAATTCTACCATTGTAGAGGCCTTGATTTGTGATAGATTGGATACAGGGGCGTAGCCATGATTTTATTCAAGGTGGGTCCATTTAGAAAAATATATGTATTACAATACTTCTCCACTAATGAAAACCAACTTATACATGATTAAACTTTTCACAAATTCAAATACCAAATGCTTAACAAATGGAGTAGCCAAGATTCAAGCATATGATCTCTCGGTCAACCATTCTCAATTAGACGCAAACTAATTTTTATTCTCAATTAACTATCATAATAATTTACCCATTTTATTCCTCATAGCCCACCCCATTGACCACTTCCTCCCCTGGTTCAAATAAAATTATGTTTACAAATTAGCTACGATCCGATGAAATTTGTTGTAGATATTAAATAAGTACAACTTTGATTTTGAGCGGATCAAATGTATCGTTGTCATTCGTACTTTATTAAAACATTGACTATGCCAGTAAACTATTTAAAATCATACATAAAATATTTTAAAACCAACCATTCTCATGTTTTCATATTCGACTAACTATTATATCTAATTTATCAGTTTTCCTCCCGAACCAGGGTAGGTCCTGGAACCCACCCCTTAACCCTCTCCCTCCGCCCCTGATTGGATAAGATATGAAAGTGAAGAATACAAACAAAGTTGATGACAAAGAAGAAGATAAATATCAACTTGATTATCAAAGTGGTAAGGGTTCACAATTCTTTTTGTTTTTAACTGTTCAATTATTCATTTTCAATTAGATGAATTCTAACAATTTTTACTTTTCTTTACAATTAGTCGCTAGTAACTTCCAAGCTCACATGGAAAGTGGTAATGAGATGCCAAGTAAGGTGAAAAACATAGTTTACCCATTGAGGTGGAGGGGGAGGAAGATGGTGATGGAGAAGGCTGAAACGAAGATGATATTGACTCATATGCAAGGTTCAAAAAGGCGCTAGGAGTAAGGCGGGCGTTGAGACTTCGCCTAGTGCCTAGCATGCTTAGGCGTTGGAAGAAAAATAGCTATTCACATTACATGATGAATGGAATAATAATCTACGACACTTCCTCACCTCAGTTAAAATGATTAATAACTTACTCAGCGCTTAATGACAAGAACATAGCTCACGAATTCATAGAATCATAGCTCAATAGTTCACAAAGTTCGTAGTTGACGTTAATTATCTCCTTTAATATTGATTTCCTAGCTCCATCTAGTAATGTTTTGGAGAGACTTATATGTCACCTTACTTCATTGGCATGTTTCAGTATCTAATTAGGCGTGAAACCCTTAGGCGAGGCGTTTTGCCATTGCCTTGCGCCTAGGCATGCCTAATCGTAAGGTTAAATGTGCCTTTTTTGAACCATGCTCATATGTGGAGGATGAGCAGGATGATGGTAATGATATTTTCTCACCACTTTGAAGCAGTAAGGTTGTGTTTATGTTGGTGGTTCAGGTCCTGGTGGAGGTGGAGGAGTTAGTGGTCATAGTGGCAAGTGAGGCACTAGTGGTTGTCATGTTAATGTTAGTGTTGTTGGAGACTTATATTTTAAGTTTGAACTTGTGTTGGATACTGGGATTTAGCACTTTAGTTGATTGTGGTGTTTGTGAGTTGATGTTGTCCCTTTGACCTTTGTTGATTCTTATTTTATGGATTGTGGATTTCAAGATTTTTGGACTTGTGGTTATCGTCTCATGGATGAATGGTGATGAATTGATGATTGAAATGATGAGATTGATAGATTGGTATGCACTAGACTTGTCTCATGGATGAATGGTGATGAATTGGTGATTGAAATGATGAGATTGATAGATTGGTATGCACTAGACTTGTATAGTTATGTACTTAATAGTTAATATTTATGTACTTATATGTTATTATGTAGTAGGCAATGCCATTGGATAGTAACAAGTTTTTGGAATTATATTTTATAATAGTAATATATTAATACAGACTTAGAATTATGAAAATATTCCAATTAATAACTTATTTATTAAGTAAACATAAAATAACCATGTATGTTCGGTTGGAATCCAATTAACTTGTTTTTGTACCTTCTCCTCTCCCTTTGCCCACGGTATCCGGATAATAGATTTTGTAGCCGGTTAACCAGATGGAATACCAGCTCGCTAGGCAGTAGCTTCACACAGAATTTTGGTATACCGGTTATCGACCGAATATCACCCCTACTAGGAGTCATAATGCCAGATAGGGTCAAGCCCAGGAAATGGCGTGGAAAAAAGTCGACCAAAACCCAAAATGTCACCTTGGCTGCCATTTTAGGGTGTCTCCAATTCAAACCCAAAATCTCAACTAATATGCCAATTGTGGTGGCCAACCTGGAAGAGACCCTAAAGAACTCGAAAAACGTGTTTTAGGCTAGTTCTTCCTTCCATAAATCATATTGATAAGGCCTCTAAATATACCATTAGGGGGTAGAAGTTCGCTAGCCAGTGATAGGAGGCATTAAAGGGTCGTTACTATGTCGAGAGAGTGACTCTCCTTACTTAGGGTGTTGATTAGGATTACAATTCAAGTCGCAACAACATATACCAACTTAGTTATGGCTTGAAGGTAAGGTTTCAATATTGATGGTTTATGATATAGGGTAAAAAAACTTATGCTAACTTAATTATGGTTTGAGGGTGTAAGGGTTCGGTATTGATGGTTTATGAAATATGGTCGACAACATATACTATAAGTATGGCTTGAGGGTAAGGGTTGGGGTTCAATATTGATGGTTTTAGATGTAGGCTGAGGGCCCATTGTAGAGGGATTAGGGTATAGGACAACCATTGTTTGAAGCAACTATTGTTTGGAGGATCGGAGAGTACACAAAGTTCAATGCAACTATTTTTTAAAGCAATAAGAATTCTAGTCACGTTTAAACTCTTATTTGTTTCAACTACTAGTCTTATTCAAGTGCAACATGAAACTTTTTTTTGATTTTTTACATTTCCATCATTGAAACTCTTATTTGTGTCACCTACCAGTCTTATTCCCAATGCAACATGAAACTCTTATTTAAATTTGAACATTTCTCCTCTCATGCATATGCTACAATAAGTATGAGACAACCACATCTTACATAGACATATTAGCATATGCATTGAGAAAAGGAATGTTCAAAATTAAATAAGATTCATGTTTCAAATTATCAATTATGTATGACGTATTGAAGACTTGAAGTTCTAGTCGGTCAAAAGATTGTTCTTGCAAATTATGTGTGAATCTCTAGGAGATGTACTTAGACACTACTTAATTCAATCACTTGAATGTTTATGATAGCTAGGTAGTTAGTTATTCTCAATTTTAGTTGTGACTTTGTACTTAAAATGTTTTTATGATACACTCTTTAATTTGTGATAGTATTAGGACTATTGGATGAAAAATTAAAAATGTTAAATATCGCCAATTCATCATAACTACTAGCTAGTGTACTCTACCAATTACCATTAATTACATGACAAGTTTGCAAGTCATACAAATTGATTCAACACTTTGACAAGTACGTATACAACGAGAAATTGACTAAAAATTGTGAAAAAAAATGTTTTAGATTACTGTAATAAAATGTATAAGTTGTAGTAATGAGTAAGTAACTCGATGAACTGACCCGAAAGAACCTGCAACCTAATCCTCCGAACCCGCCTGTCTCGCAATCCTATCAACCCGTAACAAGATGGACATATTGTAACCTGATTGTCTTGCAACCCAATGAACCCATAACCTGGGTAAACCTGCAACCTGACTATCCCGCAATCCGAAGAATTTGAAACCCGACAAACCCACAACCTGATTGTACTACGCCCGATTAACACCCCTATTTTGGCTTAGGGAGTTCATATCTCATGAACAAGAGGAGACAACGAACGAAAAACTACAAAAACTTTGAAAACCCTAGTTATCAAATCATTCATATGCATGGTATGGTAGGGTTGCAGGTATATGCCTGCAACATTGCAATTAGACATGGTAATGTGTAGATTCATTGGGTAATTTGATCTAATTGTCATTATTCATATGGGTATTGCATTGGATGCAAATGCACTCATGTAATATTAAAATTGTGGTGCATTTAATAATTTGTGAGAATTAAAAAATCATATTAATTACATTCTTTTTTCCAGTGCAATGATAGTTGTATCAGTGCAATGATATTTTTTTTAATGCAGTGATACTTTTTTTAGGTGGTCAGAGGGAATCTGTCGGAGAAAATTTGGTGGGAAGGAGTCTGCCGACGGAAGTATGATCAGAAGGAGTCTACCAGGAAAAGGAAAGAAAAATGTTGGGAAAGAAAGGAGTGGAAAATAGAGAGATGTAATTAATATAGGTTTAATTTTGAAAAAAAATTAATATAATTTTTTAATTTTCAAAGACTATTAAATGCAACACAAATTTAATAGCCAAAATAGTTATAATTAATAGGAATATCATTTTTTAGTCAAGCTAACTCATCCGACTAAAAAAAATAATATCAATAATTTCATTAACTACCTTCACCCTAATTATAATGTAGGTGTTTCCACTTTCTATTTGTTTCATAAAAAAGACAAAAATTACTTTATAATTATTTACCCGTTTTCTTTTAAACATGCCTTAAAAATAAATTACCTAAACTTGATTTTTCTATAATAAGTTGAGTTCAACCTATACCCAAATACCGGATCTTTTTCCATCCCAACTTAGGGCAATTGGGCAGAGATGCTCCTGCTTCTTTCTGTGCATTTCTAGGCAAAATTATTGGTTCTCTTCAATTATTGATTCCAATTGACTATTAGCATTCTCAACCAAACGACCATCATACCTTAGCAGTAGTAGGATAATGAACTTCAAAAGATTTAGTGACAATTTGTTACCACCTCACGACCATCATATTTTAGCAAAGACGTAATAACCCATAAAAAGTACCGATCGCTGAGGCGCTGACTTCTGTTTCAGTTTTACTACTACTACCGACCAGCGATACGATAAAGGATATCATGGGGGAAATGTTCGGCAAACCTTGGCCACTTCCCAAATCTCAATGGCTTCACTAGCATCTAGTTCCACAATACGTTCCACCAAGTACGTATCCTCGGAAAATTTTATTCGCCTGTCCCCAAGTTACTGAAAGAATAGTTGGACTTTCGAGTTTTATATTCCCCTTGCGCGCGCAAGACCTATGTAGACTCTGTCACCACATGAATGGCATTTGCCAAATACCGAACATTGCCCGTCGTCACGCCAGCCATACTGCATTACAGTTTTACCACCATGTCAAATAGTACACAACAGAGGATAGAAAGTAAACAGACGAACTTAGGGCAAGCCTTGACAGCGTCAATTTCTTATAACCATATGCATGTATTTGAAATTAATAGTCTCAACCATTCATGAGCCCAGGCATACCTGATTCGACCATTTCGGGTCATGTAGATGTGAAATTCTTTTGTCAAACGATCAACTTGTTCCGGCGTCATCCCACTGTAGCAGAACATACCAATCTGGTGGACAGGGTTATGCATCCATCAGGTAGAGTAGCACAAAAAGGAAAACTAAACATGTTGAAGACTGTCCTACGAGAAGGCTACGGCAGAAAAGAAGCCTAAAGCCTTCTACAATTACCTGTTCGGTGATGTGCTTCCACGACAGGGATGAGCCCAAATTTTCAAGATTTTCTCGGAGAGCAGTTCGCATTCCAATGATGCGATCAGCCATTCCCTAATGAATAACAAGAGCATATTATGAGCCCCTATTTGGTTAAATAGATGGGATAAGGGACACAAAGGATGAACCATTTTACAGGAACCATCTCCGGACGTGCAAAATCATACAACTAAAAAGATTTCGAACATGGAAATCGAAATACCTTCACTTCCTTGAGCCATAACTGCTTCAGTTCCGGATCACCAAGGATGGTTGAAACGATTAAAGCGCCATGAACAGGCGGATTGCTGTACATGGGTCTAGCAATCATCTGTAACTGACTTTTCACTGCCACAGCTTGTTTCTCATCTTCACACAGAACACTGCAAATCAACATATTAGACAAATAAAAGTCAGATGGTAAAACTTTTCAACAGAAAAGAGTTCACCACTTGTCAATTACTTCTACCGTTAAAGATGGGAGTTATGTGATGCATGTCAGCAATTTCAAAGGACTCCTGCCAAACTCTACCTAGATTTTTGTTATACATAGCTTCCAGTCACTTTATCTTTGAATTCTTACCTGAGGCATCCAACCCTCTGGCCATAAAGTCCCATGTTTTTGGCATAAGATTGTGCAATGCCTATAGAATGACCATCCTCGAGGAATATCCTGATGGATTTTGCATCTCTTTCTGGATCACCACTAGCAAATCCTTGATATGCCATATCGAAGAGGGCAAAATGACCTTTCGCCTGAAAGTTACATTTTTATGAAAAAGTTATATAAGGAAAATAAGCTGTAAGTTATAAGTGTTGCCATTTGAGCCTTAAAGCTTTGCATGCTAATAATGTCTAGCAGAACTGTAGTCGTGCATTGTAATAATGAATTACATCTCAACATCCAACCATCTATTTCATGTTTGCATTCTGTCTTGACATTTTTCCTATTACTTGGATAGATCAACAGAAACACAAATTTATCACATGTATACAATGGATCATAAGCTCTTCCATTCACTGGGAGCAAGCCCAGTGCAAACTATTAAAAAACCTGCCTTATAGTAATGCTAATACGGGTAAAGAAAGAAACAGTTTATAGGCTCCGATTATTATCACAGGAAAGGGAATCCTAAGTGTACCTTGAATTGCTGTGAGATCTCTCTCCACTGTTCCTCTGATGGATCAACCCCAGTAGGATTATGAGCACACGCATGAAGCAAAAAGAACGAGCCACTTGGAGCATTCTGCAAGTAAGATTGCAACATAATACAGGTAAACAAAAAGTAGCTAAAAGAATAAAAAAACAACTAAATTAAGATAAGAATAATAACTAGTATATAGTTGTAAGTAATCAGAATGAAAAGTATTGATCATAACTAATTGAATGATTCATCATCAGGATAAGCCTAAATCAAAGGTCCAACCTAAATGACAGCTAGCATACCTTAACATCATCCATCAACGAAGCAAAATCTAATCCCCTGGACTCAGCATGGTAGTAATGATAGGTCCTCTGAGGCACTTGGGCATCTCTCCAAATGTTATGGTGGCTGTTTAAAACAAAATGTTAGAAGCTGTGGGGATCTATCAATTGAAAATGACCCCAATTTACGCAAAACCTTACTTGGACCATGTCGGAACAGGAATATAGATTTGGGATTCAGGACGGAAACGCTTTTGGAACTCCGCGAAAAGTCTGCATGCACCAGTCCCTGACAGAGCTTGCACTGCAGCAACCCTTTTGTCTTTAATAAACTCGGAATTGTCTCCATAAGCCAGCTTCAGTGTTTCTTCCACCATTTTCACGCTACCACCCATGGGAAGATACTCCCTGCTCGGCGTTGAATCAGAAATTAGGAAGAGAGAAAGAGTTAAGATCGCAACCATAGAAAGCAGGAGTAGGAAATATTGAAGAGCACGAGCATTGTAGTTGGTTTGACCATCGAGATAAAAGAAAAGAGACCTGCACCCATGCTTCTAAAATCATAATATTGATCGGGATATCAACTCTATCCTTGTTTCTTTGACTTCAGATTTTCAGAACTCCAACAATATTAGAATTCATAACTGAATTAGAAACACTACCCTCATGACAGCAAGGTCATAACGCGATAAATTTTTCTTATGAAACATATCTAAGCTTTCCCACAAGCTAAATTGCAGTTCAATAACATTCACAATCGGTCCGCTGAGGAAAGAATTCAGATACAATTCAAAGCAAAAATCAGAGAACCGCGGCAAGAGCCAGAATGCAAGAGCGACATATAAACAGCGCTCACATGTTCATGCTACCGGCGATCCTCCGCTCCGCTTCTCTGACGCATTCCAAAACCACCGGCTTTCCGTTATCATCACGGTAGGCTCCCTGCAAATAACACCAATCCGCCGTAAGAAAGAAATTGGTTCTACGAACGTCAGTCCAAATAAGAGAAATGTGAAAATAAGATCAAAGAGGTATCGCCATCCGTAGCTCTCAGCATCTGATGAAACCATCCGATCCTCTAAATTAGAAAGAGAATTGAAACGAGGACACACTCACAACTCCAACATTGACTTTATCTGGACTGGGATCAGCGAGGAAAGCTTCCGTAACGCCGAGAATCGGATCCTTGGGAGCGGGCTCCACGCTATGCCACCACGACGACATAGCCCGGCTGGATCCAACGCCGGCGGTCCAGCTCCTGTGCCGAGCTAATCGCGAGGCGACAGCGTTCCAAAGCGCCATAACTCCAAAAATCTATTTCCTCAAAGTCCCACAGCTTGCTGCACGGCGAGAGAATGGGCGTTATAGCCGATGACTCTAGCGGAGCCGGGCGGTGGTATAAACTATAAAGTGTGTAGCGAAATGACAGAAACGCTAGCGGGCAAGTATTTATTGCAACCAGTGGCAGCCTCGAAATGCGTGAGACGCAGGGACGAGAAATCCCGTTTGCCAAGATGTGCAAGGTGGAAATGGAATGACCATATCCTCCTTGTGGCCGTTTTAGATGCTGGTTTGGTGGTTCAAGAATTTGTTTTTGCTTTTTGGCCTTTTGCTTTATCCGTTCCACTTTTCGGTGTGACCACTTGCAACTTTCAAGTATTGGTGTCAATCGGGCGGGTTCGGGCTGGGTTCAATCGAGTTGCGGGTTAGTCGGGTTGCGGGTTCATTGGATTGCGGGTTCGTTGGTTCAGGTTCAATCGGATTCGGGTTTAATCGGGTTGCGGGTTAGTCAGGTTGCGGGTTGATCGGGTTCGGGTTCAATCGAGTTATGGGCAAATCAGGTTCGGGTTCATCGGGTTTCGGACCGGGCGGGTTGCGGCCGGATTGGGTTGCAGGTTGTTCGGGTCAACGCATCGAGTTACTTACTCGTTACCAACTTACACATTTTATTACACTAATTTAAAATATTTTTCACAGTTTTTAATCAATTTCTTTCTACCTTGTATATATACTTAATTAAGAAAAACTAGTCAAAATCATCACAATCGAAATTTGAAATCTCGCCTTCCCACCACAACTAAAATTGGGCCGCTCAAAATTTCATCATCACCCGCCCACTACAATTACATCAAAAACACAAAACCCTTCCCTCTGCTTGCAAAAAATTGGGCGCCCAAAATTTCATCACACCCGCCCAAAATTACTTCTTAGTTCTTAGCCTGTCATCTTCTCCAATAATAAAATTTATTATTATAGACAAAAGGTCTTATTTATTATTTATTATAAATATTAGCATTGTGCTGATTTTATATTTACTTTTTTGTAATTTGGTTAAATAAATTCATGTCATAATTTTTGTAATTAAAAACCATAATTTCAAGTGAATTTCATATTTTGAACTTTCTTAACTAAATGTGAATGATTTTACTTAAGTTGAGAATGAAAAACTTTATTTAAAAATAATATATTTATTTTCACCAATTTATTTCTACCTCATATATATATATACTTAATTTTTTGAAAAAAATTAGTCAAAATGTTAAATCAATTTGTATGACTTGCAAACTTGTTATGTAATTAATCGTAATTGGTAAAGTACACTAGCTAATAGTAATGGTGATATCAATATTTACAACCAAAAGATACCATTAATTATTTATTTGATATTTTAGTATTATTTCAATAGTGTAATTGGATTAAAGTATCTCATTTAGTATAACCATGCAAATGTGGTATTTGGCGTGTGGTATTAGGCAAAAACAGAGTGATAAAAGAAGTTATTTCGAAATAACTCATTGCCCAAATAACTTCAGTAAACTGTTGCCAAACGAGTTATTTGTAAAATTGTTCGAATTATGCTGAAAATTGAACCATTAAAGATTAACTATCAAATCTAGTAAATTTATTGGGACTTCAATCATAACTTACTCAATAACATCTATCTATCTATCTATCTATCTATCTATACTATATATTATGGCAATTCAAAAGCAATCTATTGCCACATAAGCACTTGGAGGATCCATAATTTGCCAAGTTGGACAACTTTTTTACAAACAAAAAATTAGTTATCAATATATTTATGGAGCTACCTCTCTCTTTTTTAATATTTTTATTTCTTTTATCCAATTATTCTTTTTCATTTATCTTTTTTTTTACTTTAATAAAAGTTACATGTTGATAATCTTAACTAAACATACATAAATAATAATTTTTTTTCAAGTATACAAAATATAAATTAGAAAACAGAGAGTAGCTTATATCACATTTGTTCATATAAAAAAAATCTAATTAAACCTTATGAATGAAATTTTCTACTCATTTTTACTAAAATTGAATGATAAGTTATATTTTGATGAGAAGATTAAACAAGCACACACATAAACAATGATGATTTTCTCGATTAAACAAAATATATATAAAAAGAGAGAAAATAAACATTTGACATTCAATTACCTTTGGAAAATAAACTATATTACTTTATATTTTGTTGCAATGAAACACTCTCTTTTTCGTAAAGTATATGTCTATAAAATAATAAAATTATTATTTAGCAAAATGTTAGAGTATAATCTTGATCGAGTAGTTACAGTTATTTATTTAAAAAATACTTCTTATTTATTCAGATCAGGTTCTACCTTAAACTCCTCAAATGAAGAGGAATTGCATGCAGCGGCGGAGGCAGAGTAGAACTGCCTGGGACCAGGGACTCACCCTGCATATTGTCCAAAAGACCAAAAAATAAGGAATGTTTGAGGACAACCAATCAGAATAGAAACCAAAATCACTTCCCTCTCAAGATAGCTTAAAGCATTTGCCAGTAGGTAACCAAATATTTTTTGATAAATTGAACATTAGTAGGTATATACACAAGAGAAATTTTATAATGCTATAAAGCATTTATATTTTAGTTTTTGTTTTTATGGTCCAATTTGAAGTTGTACATTTAATGTTATGGTACATTTGAGATTTTACCTTTAATTTATACTTTTAACGTTATGTTAAAAATTCAAATTGTACTTTAAAGCATAGTAGAAGTACTCATATAGAAAAAACTAAATTTTACATAAACAAACAAGTCAAACATACATCTAATTGTTTATTTCAAAATTCTAATCCCTAATTTGTTATTCTACCACTCCTTCCCAAACCAAGCTCAACTATCCCCCAAACTCTCGCCTAATCTGCCCACCTCCGGTTCTGTTGCAGACGACCATCTCCCGATCTCCGTTGGTCTTCTGTTGTTGTATAGTAGCTATTACCTAAGTTGGATGATGAACGTATTTTTGAAACTTTTGAAAATACGTTTTGAATATTGTAAGTATTAATAAATTTATTTTGTATCACAAAAATATTTAATAGTTTTTCATTTTGGACCCACCCTAAGTCAAATCCTGGCTACGCCCCTGATTGCATGTACAATAATTTTATAATATGTCCTAAGTTCACATTAATAATATTTGATCTATATCATGTTTTATTGAGGAAGCTCTATTGAGGTCCTAATTCATATCCTAAGAAATTTTCTTTAAGACTTGGAGTTATCGTCAACGATTATAAATCAAAATTTTCAAAATGGCTTAAGTATGATTGTTGACGAACTTTGACTTCATAACCTAGGATGAGACACAAGATTCCTTGAAAAATAACATATGTGAAGGTTAGAGAAATCTTTGTTGAGAATATATGATAAACATCACGTTTTATCAACTAATAACCTAGGCACTTACCAAATAAAGGTTGGCAACTTTTGGTAAGATAGTCAATTGGGATTTACATATTTATCGAGCAATCAAGTATCTTTATCCAATCATCTCAACTCTCAAAATTGGTTGCCAGTTCGCCAAACTCTAGAAACACGAATTGATATATGTTGTATAAGATAATAAGTTAATGCAAATAATCAAATGATAAGACATTTTAAATGCACTTGAAATATGTGTGTATTGTAGACACTCTTTATCAATTATTAATATATAAGTGATAAAATCTTTGAAAATTACACATTCAGCGACCATGTTAAGCCGATATATAAACAATGACCACGAATTGAGGTTTAGTCTAAATTTCAATAATTAACAATTGATACATATTTTATAATATACTAAATTTAAGTGTCTTGATAAAAAAAAACTAACATCCAATATGAAAATGAGTCGAGATTAGAGAATTTAATCATCATGAGGGCTACAGTGTGTGTCAAGTTTCAATATGGATGAATAAATTGATCTAATAATGAAGTATCTTTACAACATTGACCGACAGTTCGTCCAAACTCGAGGATCATGAACTTGTATTGGATTTTCAAATGACCTAAAATTCCAATCCTTTTCGGGGGCTAAATACCTTTGATCGCAACCATAGGTTACAAAGAAGAATGAAAAGAAGCCCAAAAAAAACATAAAAGAAAATAACCTCCGATACGATGAACAAAATAAAACCATATCAAGCTATGATCCTATCATCCCTACCCTTTTATTCTCTATAAAGGGGGCTGCGGGAGAGGATAAGAAATAAATAGCAGGATAGGATTTGCCTCTTTATATATTACATATCGAATGATAGACAACCCCATTGGTTTTCTGACGTTAAGGGGGTAATAGCGGGATCTCTATCATGGGGTGGGGGATAGGCAAGTAGCACTTTTAATATGAGTATTAGGTGAGATAGGATAGGTCTGACGAAGTATCTGGATAATTTTAAGTCTACTATTTATATATAATATCAACGGTTGAGTTCTATGATACCTAAGGTAAAATTCAGGCTACCGCATACCTTGAGTATGAAAACATTATCCAGGCCTTGAATTGACTGATCTTTCGGACATGATAGTATACTCCAACCCTTAGAGATCAAAATCTAGGTTTTAATTCTCTAAATCTTATACCCCAAGATCAATTTAATTAGAAACAATTATCAACGGTTATGATTCGTCCAAATATAGGCAAATAATGAATGCACCATCTTAGGGTTTATAGTTTATGATTTAGATAATTAGGACCTAGGATTCACTCATTATATTTTATGATTTAGATAATTAGGACCTAGGATTCACTCATTAAGGGTTAGGGTATATTATCCGGCCCAAAAATCCTGCTAATTCAAGGTCTAGATAGAGTTTTCATATTCAAGGTATGTGGTGCCCAAAATCTCACCGGGGTACGTAGAAGCCCCAATATCAATGTATACTATACTTTTGATTTTACTCAAGATACGATAGAAGATAGGTATGACGAAGTATGTGCATAAATTAGAGGTTGGAGAATTAGAGACTGGAGTTCACCTATTAGAGGTTAGGGTATAATATCACGCAGCAAAACACTCCGATTAATTCGGGGTCTAAATAGTAAAACTCAATGGTCGTATGATAGCATACTCCTGACGCACGCTAGCTTCAACTATATCTGTGTGTATGGTTCAGGTTGGCGTACGCTAAATATTAGTGTTTTGGTTGACAAATTTTGACATAAGTTCTAAATGGGACGTGACAGTGACATCATTTATGATTAGAAAACCGGAGCATCACAAGTGAGTGTGCTAAATATTGAAAATTTTCAATATAGACATTCTACAAACTCTGTTATGAATCAAGAACACAAAATATTTAGAAAATCTAAAATGATTTAAACATATACAGAAGTTAATTAATATAAGTGATAAATTTGTATAAAATAAATTTATCCGGCCAACGGGACGGGTAAAAAGCTAGTATATCCTATACACTTAGCCTTACCCTCAATCGACAATATTAAGTTAGTATATGTTGTTGATTGTATACCCTAAACCATCATTACATTATACACTAACCACATACCCTATACTCTAACCATATGTCCTTATGTGTTGTGATTTTGCTAGTATAGTTAATTTAAAACTGAAATTCATACTTTGATTTTCAAAACATAGATAAAAAGTGATATTTGCTAATTGCTACACCCTAACCATATATCTTATACTCTACATCATATACCTTGTACCCTA